CTGGACTTGGAGTTCCCGAGCTCTGATTATCCAGAGTTTTCAAAGATCAGCCTTATGGTCTCAACTGCTAGAGAAGGAACCAATATCTCTCGAAGCGAGGCGAGCGGTGTTATCATCATCATCGCGGATGATCAAAGCTCTACTCTGGCCCATGAGCTCCAGAGCCAGATAGAATATTTGGGGCCTCATTGCTTCATACACACTGTGGCTGAAGTGGAATCTGTGGATGTGCTAGATAGGATATGTGTGCTTTTCATGGTGTCCAATCCTCCTATCCCAACAGGTTCGAACATCGAATCATACGACAAGCTAGAAAACGTCCTCTTCAAGAGCAAAAACGTTTTATTTGTCACTGGAGATTCAACAAATAACCCAGCATTTGATATTCCAATCGGACTTATTCGAAACAGGCGATTGCAGCAGGACCCTGACAACTCGAATCTTGTTACGGTTTCGTTGACCGATACAGAGGTTACCCAGAATACAATTTCCGAACTTTTGGTCAGAGTTTTCAAGCACCAATTTCTGTCAGGTACCGTGCGTACGATCAGAAATGCCGAGTATCGCCTTGCACAGGGGGTCATTCTTACGAACCGTGTTGCTCTCAACGCCGATGCCAATTCCACCATTGGGGGTCGACTATCGGCACCACGACCAGTTCCGCTTACGTGGGGCGACATAGATCGGCCAATTAAACTCATAGGCCATGACCGTTTCGTCTGGGAGACCGATAACCTTCTCTCCGACAACTTGCTGGGTGAGAATGACGTGGACCTGGACGTTAAAGCCGTCGGCCTTGGCTCTCGAGACGTCCTAGCGGCGACAGGAAAGCTTCCCCAGATGACCCTGGGAGAAGAAGCTTCTGGGGTGATAACCAGGGTCGGATCATCCGTTAAAGATTTTCAGTCCGGCGACCGCGTCATGTGTATCAGTGACACTCAAGCAGGGAGAGAAGGAACGCTGAGGACAGCAATACGGATAAACTCGTCTCTGGTCACCCGCATCCCCGACAGTCTTACCTTCGAGGCTGCTGCTGGATTACCTGTCTCTTGGCTGACTGCAATCTATTCTATCAGCTACGCCGGTAGGTTGGTCACTGGGGAGAATATCCTGATCCACTCTGCTGCGAGTAGTATTGGGCAGGCGGCGATCCAGTATTCCCAGTCCCTCGCTGCAAACGTATTCGTGACTGTGTCCAACGTCGACGAGAAACACTATGTCGCACGGAAATATGGAGTCCAGCGAGATCGTATCTTTTCCAGCCATCGTACTTCCTTCCCGGCCCAGATCAAGCGACGAATACCGCGTGGGATGGATGTCATCATATCAGATATATCCGCTGAGACTACTCAAGGTTCAGTGAGCTGTCTGGCACCTTTTGGCAGACTGATAGCCATCGGCAATGGCGGGCCGCAGTCAATCCACAACATCTCTGCGTCGCGCAACATGGATAACATCACGATCTCAAAAGTGAATCTCAATTCTATCGCCAGGAGCCGCCCGGCAACTATCCAAAATATTTTCCGAGAGACGATGCGGCTAATGGAGGAACATAAGATTCGTTTTGAACCTCCTAGACGAGTTCTGACGTATAGCCAAATACATCAGGGTATCGAGATGCTCCAGAAGGATGCAATTGCTGGAAAAATTGTTCTTCGTCCTTCTGAGGATGTTGTTCAGGTTGTTCCTGAAATTCCAAGACCATCCCGGTTGGAACAAAATGCATCCTACCTCCTCATAGGTGCACTAGACTCTTTGCATTGCAAGCTTGCTCTTCGGATGGCAGCTCGAGGTGCTAAGAACCTGATACTCTTGTCTCGGGCCCGGGGCTTGGATACGAAGGATACACAGCAGCAGATTCTTGATACCTTGCGAGAGCAAGGATGCGAGGCACATATATACCACTGCAACATGTCTGAGGCGTCCGAAATACAGGGTCTGACTGCCGACTGGCACAGTCAGCTTCCCCCTATCCATGGAATTCTTGAGTCGACATATTGCATGAGTGCTTCTAATCAGACTGTTGCCACGCATTCAACAAGCATCTCTAAAGGTATCATCATGGAGTTACTTAATCTGCATAATGCCATCCCATCTGTTGATTTCTTCATCATAATCTCATCGATGTCGGGGCTTACAGGAAGTATCAATGACAACGACTTTAGCGCAGCCGGTGCATTCCAGGATGCATTAGTTCGCCATAGACTCTCACATGGCTTGCACGCTGCGAGTGTCAACGTCCGGGATATGAAAGAGGAGGAAATCTTAGCGGCAGTCGACTATATGACGGATATTCGAAACCCCCCGACCGTGGATTCCTGTCAGATGGTCTGCAATGTCCCGACCCCAGCATCATACGAAGAAGTAGAAAAGCCAGTAATGAGATATTTGTCCGGCCCCTTGTTCCATCAACTTCCTAGCTTCCGTTCGCGAGTGGCAAGCATGCCAACAGAATCCGCAAAAAGACCGAGTGTGGGCGACCTCCTGAACAAGACCAACAACACCGAAGAGGCAACTGCTGTTGTGTCGAGAGAGATTCGACAGAAACTATCGAACCTTCTTAATGTCACCGAAGACGAGATTAACGAATTGCATGATATTCGGACCAATGGGGTCGACTCATTGATTGAGATGGAGTTCCGGAATTGGCTGGAAAGAGAACTCGGCACAACAATTTCGTTAGAAGATTTGACCTCGAAGAGCATATTGAAGTTGAGCGCACATGTTGTTACAGCGTCATCTCTGGTTTTATTTACTTAGAAGTGTCGATACCGGGCTGGGACTAGAAGAATGGGTATATTGAACATATACTTCAGTTGTCATTTGTATGTGCACAAGATAGGCTGGACGGAAATAGTCATACCGTGACTCCTCGATGAATGACAAGTGATCAACTATTCACTCACGAGGGGTGATTCGTTCCAGAATGTCATGAACAATAGTTTAAATCTGTGACATGTCTTTTGTTCCATCTCTATTATTTTTTTCCTCGTCTTGACTTATACATGGCGGGAAGCAGACCAATATCAATGTGGACAGGTAGGAGGGAAATAGATGGTAGAGCAATATATATACCGACCAATTCGGAGACTCGGCTCTTAAGTAGGAGGCACTCTTAAACGAGGGGTACCTACCAATCTATTAAGCATTCCGGTCGATGTCTTGAAGCCAATATTGTGCATGTGATGTGGAACAATACGGGCTTTTGGTACAATAAGTAAGTCATATACGGTAGTAGTTTCCGTGAGAATGATCTTGCCTGACGGTATTTCGTTAATGGAGATGGTGGCTTAGTTCTTCTTAATAAGACAATGGTGCGATCCATTCGTGATAGATTATTTTATTTTCTCATGATTATTCAGAAAAGTTTAGGGCGTCCCGTGGATGCATCGAAGCAAAACCCAGGAAGTCCGGCGTCTAATAAAAGCCCGAAGCAAGGTAGTATCGTGTACTTTGTAGGCGCAGGTCGGCGGCAAAGAAATAAATATCATTGGATGGTGCTCGATTTGCAAACAGACAAAAAGCGGTTAGCTGTACCCAAGAAGAGCGTCTTTCCACCGCAAAATCCAAACGGGTGGAGACCATTGCTGTAACAAGCATGATGACTACGACAACCATTGAAAAGAAAAAAGAAGGTCACTGAAGTCCAGCCTTATTGTTGTGGAGAAAGTGTTCTATACTATACTAGGACTACTGTCCGTGCCAAGTACATACATACACATCACCGATAACAGCAAATGCCACCACAGTCTCGTAAAAGGGTTAGACAAGAGAGATGTGTCAGGCTTAAGAACCAGGCCAATGGACCTATTATTGACCAGTGGTAGGAATAAAGGCCACAGTGGAGCTCGGAGTATTCACTGATGAGGAGCGCGATAGTAGTAAATATCACTGTGGTGCGTTGAAAGTTTGGCGTCCGTTCTCCCAGGCACTTTAGACTTCCTCGTACTGGTCTGTATGTCCGGCACTGCCAGTCGCGGTACTAGTCCCCATCAACGGCTCCATATGTTCAACCCGATCTGGATTGAAGGTGGTCTGGGGCCATTTGGAAACCCAGTCAGTCGAATTATCAACAAGCGTTTGTGTTAAAGCATCTTACGCGGGCGTATAACAGGATCCCCGATTCTATATCGCGATTGGGGGTGCGGTTCTGGGGGAGAAAAGTGTGTAGAAGCTCGACAAGATTCGGCGGAGAGTTACGGTTTGATTGCCGATGGAATGATCGATTGGTTACCGATTGAGCCGGAGGAGAAGATTCACTGGGACGGAGGGGAGGAGGATTGATTTTGTGAGTCTCGGGGTTGTCATGACGGTTCTGGTCTAGAGGGAGTCAACAGCCGGGGGTTAGCTGTATGAAGATGGGAGTTGAGCGGGTTAGATGTTTACTTGGCTGTCTTTGGTGTCGGATGTGTCGGATTATGCAACACACCCCAGGAACGCAGGCGGCCAATAAAGCGAGTAGGCCTATAATTGCTTCCGCTGATAAGGACATTCTTGTTAGAGGCGTCAATCTTAATGTTGGAGGTGGGAAAAAAAAGAACAGATGCATTGGGGTTGACAGCCTTTTTATCATGAATCTACAGATTCTACAGAAACCGCGAAAACCGTGTATTGATCTCAAACCCAGGGAAAACGAAGATCCCTTCAGTCGACGACCACGACCGCCCGATACCGCAAATGAACAAGCTAGGGTGGAGTCGCACTTCTGGCTTGAGCCAATAGGCAGGACACAGCATTTGGTGGCTGTGTGAGCATCTGCCCAGGGAAGAACCACGATTGGTGCAGACCAGAAGTGCGGCCCACCTCGATGCATATCGTGAAGTATACAGCCCGAGTTAAGGCTGTCAATTCCTGAGCAGCAGTCCACCACAAGGGGGCTTGACCAGGGGCAGGCGGGAATATAAGAAGGCACTGATTCTGTGATCAAGTTGTTAGCCATTGGGTTTTCTATTCAACCCTAAAATTCAATCCTAGCCTTCTATCCCTCTTGCAATCCGAAAATGAGTCTGTCCGACCACAAAGACACCATCCAAAGGCTCTACGTCGACGAGGACCTAACTCTTGACGAGCTGATGGACTCCATGGAAAGGGATTTTGGCATCCGTGCGAGGTATGTCTTCTATCTCAGACTCATTCCATTACCGCCGTACCCCCTGACATTGATCGGTTGGATAGCAAGGACAGCTACAAACGTCATTTCAGGAAATTGAAACTGCGTAAGACCAACAATCGCGATTTCTACGTCTGGGCCAACCATCACATTGAAAAGCGCAGTCATGCGAATCCCAAGAAGAAGACCCAGATCCTCTTGAACGGAAAAGCGATCGATGAGAAAACTATCCAGAAGAATATCCCGCGGCAGGTGTTGACTTATGATCAAGCACGCGCAGCAGATCAGTCATCTAAACCCGGTTGATATAAATATCCGGAATATACTGACATTCTTTAGCTGCAAGTCCAGCAACACCTCAAGGCTACAGCATCGTAACACCTGCTGGTTCAACCCCACGCCAGCTCGATGACGTCCGTCGTCTGCTTCGACGGGGGATGAACCCATCCGTTCCAGCACCTTTCTTGTGGGCTCCGCTAGTAAGTTTAACATCCGAGACCGTGCCCATCTCATTGTATGATGATACTAAGAGCTGGCCTGAATATTTTAGTATTGGGCTAGATCGATCGAGGTCGTGAAGGCTCTTGTTGAAGCAGGTGCGGATGTGAACACGCTTTCTGATTCTGGGGCAACACCTCTTGCAACTATTGGACAAGACCCTGGAGAAATCAGGGATTGCCTCGTACAACAAGGTGCTGTACTTAAACCTCGGCGCGCCACCAAATCTTGGAAAAGAAGGCCATCATCCATGCCGTTTCCGTCCACTAACTCTGGGTCAAACGAAGAACAAACCGAACCAACTAGTATGGGCGCTGGGCTTCCCCAGTCTTTGGATAGTACAGCTATTGTACCTCCAATCCACCCATCTCCAATAACAGCTTCCTCTCCAGCTTCGTCTAGTCACAGTTTACCCTTCCGATATCCTGAACTTTCCCCGAGTATGTGGGTTGCTGACGGTGCTCCTTATCTCGCTTCGCCAAGGGTGAATACGGACCTACCTTCAATTACTTCTCGGCCTCAGATATCGATGCCTGGAATCGATGACGATTTACTTCTCAATGACCCTCCAATGCCCTTGCCGCGTTGGTAAATGTCCAGTACTGCCGACCGGAGCCCTGGTAATTACTCCAGATCCCTCAAGATGCAGCGATCCTTCTGGATTCCTGCAACACAGCGACTGGAGCATTGAAACTGGAGCATTAATAGTTAACAGCTCCTATTTCAGTATTTAGTTTAGTCGATTCAAGTATCTTAATATCGTCATTTCCGCATATTTTCAAAAACAGAGACCTCTTTTGGACCGCAATAAGTCATGACCTCCGTAATCTCCGGTCAACGTCTACACACTCATATCTGGTTTTGAGATTTCCTTTGTTGAGAGATTTCCGGATTCAGTGTCAGTGTTGAGGTAGGAACAGATAAACAGATACTAGTAAGTAGTAGGCTACTTCTCTATATAACTGCTCGCTCCGTCAGAGGCCGATTCTTGATAATCCGCTCATACGAAAGCACACTGAGGTTAAGGGTCTGAAAGCGCCCGTAAACAATCAACTCAGCAACACCACGTCCACAAGCCGGAGCCTGTTGGCTCCCATGGCCCGAAAATCCCACACAGAAAAGGAAATTGCCGACCTTGCTGTGTGGCCCGACTATAGCATTATGGTCGAACGTATTAAACTCATAATGACCCACCCAAGAATCCGTCACGCGTGCGCTGGCAAATTGAGGAACCCTGCGCGTAATAACCGGAAGTATCTTCTCCTCCCATACATTCTCTGCAAAGCTGAAATCGTCTACATCCACGGCAGTGTCTGGCCCGATCGGGGGGCAACCAACGAGGTAGTCTTTTGCGCCATAGGAACGGAGATGAACACCCGACGGATCGATAGTTAGAGGGAGATCCTGAGTCAGGCTCTCATCAACAGAGAAGATGTAGGTGTAGCGTCGTCTAGCCTCAATGGGCAAACCGGTAATACCTGCCATCTCAGAGACCGTAGCAGCTCGAGTTCCTGCAGCATTAACCAGGGTGCCGACAACGACCTGCTCTCCGGTGCGCAGTGTGATGCTTCGCACCCTATCACCCGCTTCCTCTAGTTCTGCACCGATGACTTCATTCGCGATGTACTCCAAGCCGTTTGCCTGGGCAGTGCTACGCAGCCACTGCACCATACCCCAGGCATTAAATGCACCTTCATCGACAACATTCAGACTCGCACTGTCAAGGTCGTCGGTGTACAAGAATGGGTACTTTTGCTGGACATCAGCCCTTGAAATCATTCGGGTACCGGCTCCCAAGCTAGCCTGCAGCTCCTGGTCCTTCTGGAGCACTCCTGTAAACTTGGATGAATTGGATAAATACAGGTATCCAAAGTTGCGGATTGAAGGGGTAAAGGGTACGTCGCGGGGGTCTGGAGGAAATTCGGTGCCAAAGCGCTTAACGAAATCGGCTGCATATTGCGCAATCTGGACATTGATGGCGGTTGCAAATTGTTGACGCATGCAGTTGTTGCTGGCTTTGGTAGCGGAATACTCTAGGGAAGGGTCTCGTTCGACAACGAGCACTGAGCCCTTGAAGTCTGGATTTGCAGCTAGATGCCATGCAATAGAAGAGCCACTGGTAGCACCACCGACGATGACTACGTCGTAGTACTGGCGGGTAGGGAACTTGCTGATAAACATTGTGGCTGAGAGTAAACGCAAACTGGTTGATGAATATTCAAAAATTGGTATTGGATGCTCTATTTAAGATGTACAAGGGTATATGTATGCAGGCGTCACCGTCACTGCTATCGTAATCAAGATACCTAACAGTTTTTACTCTGGACGAAACAGTTCGCTACATTCCTCATGTCGTCATAAGTTGCCATATCCGCCTTTCGGTTAGATCTTTGCATGTCTCGGTTTTAGCATATTCAACTGTATTTGAGTAAAATCTGAGATTGTGGGTCCCGGGTGTACTGTACTTACTAACCAAGGGAGCAATGCGGCCCACCTTCCCTCCGTCGCGATAAGCTGCCGGTTTGACAAGCCACATGTGGATCTCGCACCCATTAGGCATGGTTTCCCGAACCGGTACTGTACTACACCCCACCAGTATATTTATGTAGAAATTATACTATTCCCTTGTATTGCTACCTCACTCACCATTCCATTTGCACCTCACCATTCTACACAAAATGTCCCGCATATTTATGTATATCCAATCCACACCACAAATTGGAGACTCGTCACTAAACCTATCTACAGAACAGGAGCAACAGGCTACATTGGTGGCGACGTCCTGTATGCCCTTACACAGGCATTTGCCTCGTGCAAGATCACAGCCCTCGTCCGCAGCAAGAAGAAGGCATCCCTTATCACGAGCAGATTTCCATCCGTGACCCCCGTCATTGGAGATCTTGATTCCGCGGCGCAGATTGCGAGCGAGGTTTCGGAGGCTGATGTTGTGCTTCGTACGTATAAGCAGAAAGAATCAACCCATTCCCCTGAGTACTGGATTATATGTTATCTAACCGACAATTGTTGCCCGAAAGACCTAGCGAGCTCGAATCATCTCCCCAGTGCTACTGCTATTGCGCAGGGCTTGACAGAGACGAAGCGCCAAAGTCCAGGTATCTATAAATCTCCTCATTTCCTCTGAAGTACCTTATGAACGCCACCCTAAACGCTTTTCATCGCAGTTTGGATCCAAATCTCGGGCGCAAGCCTCCTCTCTGGCGCGGAAGTCGCAACAAGTTCTTATGGCCAAGCACGGGCCCAAAACCACAACGACCTGCAGGGCATCAGCGAAATCCGAAACATCATCTCTTCATCACCCAAGCGCGCCGTCGACCAAATGCTCCTAAATCTCTCCTCAGAACTGCCTAATGTCCGAACAGCGATTATTTACGGTCCATTGATCTATGGTCTGGGCCGCGGTCCAGTCAATCAGCGCAGCATCCAGCTACCTGATCTGGCGAAAGCGACCCTTCGGCTTGGACATGGAGTTCAGGTCGGAAAGGGTCTGAGCTGTTGGAGTAATATTCACATTTCGGATTTATCAAACTTGGTTGTGAGGTTGGTTCAGGAATCGCAGGACCGTCAAGGAAGAAATCCTTTGTTGTGGAATGAGAACGGCATTTACTTTGCGGAAAACGGAAAGATGGTTCGTGTTTCAGTTTTCCCTTCCTCTTGTCACATTCGCTGATTTCTTATTGCAGCCGTTCGGGGAGATTTCAGGAAGGATAGCCGCATTTGCTTTCCAAAACGGCTTCACGAGGAGCATATATGTTCAGGAAATCGACGCGGAGACTGCAGATAATCTGACCGCACACGGAGCCATTCTCTGGGGTTCTAACGCCCAGTATATGGCATCCCGGGCACGAGAGTTGCTAAACTGGAAGCCGGCTGGTCCCAGCATTGAAGAGGTGATCCCCGGAGCGGTTATGGATGAAGCTTTGCGGCTCAAATCTCACGCTAAGATCTAGAGTTTCCATGGATCGTAATATATTGTAAGATGATTGGTCTATAATACCAAGTCAAAGCGTCACGTCGCAATAATTGGACATCGTTCATGCTTCACAACATCAAACCAACTCAACGTGTAATCCTTCGTCTCTGACCGTGTCTTCCAGACGCACTGCGCAGTCCCTGCAGCTGCAGAAAACGGGCCCAATGAGGTCCGATGGCCTGTCATGATAAGCCAATCTAGCAGGCCGCTCTGCAATTCGGGGTCTAATGCCTCGCAGGCTGCAACGAAGCCGGGCCAGAGGATGGCTGTATCAGGCGTATCGGGCGGCGCAGTTTCACTATCCTCGATGCGGGTTTTGTCGTAGCGCTGCAGACACTCCAGACAGTTGCGGACAGTATCTTGGAGGATTACAGCGCTGATGTTGGGGACGCGACGGTAGTAGAACAAGATAAGGGCTTGGTGCATGGCTTGAATCATGAAATGATTTGCTGTCAGTTTCTGCCTAATGGCAGTATCCTGACCGTTCTTCAACGCTGTTGGATTGATTGGCTTCGATTCAAAAGACTGCTTCCATGAGAGAATGTACTGCTCGAGCATGCTCGCGCGCCGCTTTAATTCTCTTGTGGTACGTGCGTCCGCGGTCGGGCCGCCGCGATGAAGTAGCTCTTGCTCGTTAGCCAGGCGAATAACCTGCGATAAAAAGTTCATGAGAGACTCCGGTATTCCGTAGATGTCAGGAAAGAGCGTGTCATTCCACTGCCCCATTACCTCTAGATGAATGTCATTGTGGCCGATGATGTTGCCTTTTACTAGCGTGATGTCGAGCTCAGCACCTATGATGTCGTCGGCCACGCGGAAGCTCCGTAGGGAATTTGCTGATGGCTCGATTGAGAGTAAACTGGCGCTGGGACGGTCGGGGCAAATGTCTAGTAAGGCACATCCACATGTGCTTTCGGCCATGATGCGCAGGAATGTGTAGACGTGGTGCAAGGATCGGACCTTCAGGGACTTATGTGGTTTAGGAAGGCCACGTATGCGAATAAGATATTCTGCATCAACTAGGAAAGCTTGGGCGCTGGTATTTTCGCCGTTGAATACCTATGGTATGTGTTAGTTATATTAGATGCTATCGGCTGCCTGGTAAACACGTACCGAAAGCATGACCATGCTTAGAACAGCCATCAGTATCTCCTTGTACTTAGCCTGCTGAGATCCTACAACCTCCTGGTTCAGGGCCAATTCGAGATGTTGCTTGGCGGTTTCTTTGAAACGCTTTGCTGATATGTGCAGGTCACCAGCAGAATGATCGTGTTTATGCTTATGGAGGCAGCTGGTAGCAAGAAGCGAGTAGAACAGCGACATCCTAGTGTGGCTTGTGGTATGGTTAATACTGAGGTCGGCGAATGCGCTCATTGCACCTGGTAAATGGACTGTCTGCCAGGGACAATACCGGCAGTTCCTCAAAGGAAACGAGAGCGAAATTACATTCTCTTTGAAGTAACGCATCAGGTCAGCAGTCTCAGGAGGTATGACTGGGCGCCCTGAAGAAACATCAAAGGATGGAAAGGCTAGTGTCAGAGACGAAGAGGGGGGCTGGTATGTGACCTCGTCAGAATGCATCTCTATTAAAGGACGAAGGAGAGACTGAGCATCACTCGTCAAAGTATCAATATCCAGAAAGGGCTCCGGTATAATGACATCACATGAGCCACTGGGCACATTTTGTAGCCCATCAAATATGGCAGTGTCATCTGTAATAGCAGGCCAGAAGTCATCCCATTCCAACGGGTTGCGCTCAAATTGGTCGGATTGCGGCTCAGCTTGGTTATTATCTGCAAACCCGTTGGTCGACAACACTAGAATACCGAAAGGGCCTCGAAATGAGTCGCCTTCCAAGCGTACGTCGCTTTCGTATTCATTTTCCAGTTGTGACAAGGCAGCACTTGCGGACTGCTTTCCAAGACTTTCTGTCATCAGTTGTGTCATCCTCAGTTGGTTGGACTCTGCGCCGCTAGTTAGCAAGCAAGCTTTTTCCGTTGTATGGGCCTGAAAGGTGATCTACTGGAAAATAGGGGCCGGCGAAAAACTCGGTCTCCATCATGACTCGCCCAGACTAGCTGACGCTCATAGCCGAGACATGCCAGGCCTTGTTGTTGGCAGTTCTTGCAAACAGGGCTTGCTTCGTCACACTTTACATGGCGATGGCGGCAGGTTCCGCATCCTGTAAGTGTGCGATTCCGTGAGAGCATGCTGCATAGTATTTCGCATTCACAACGATACTACACCCAACGTCTTGGGTTTCCCTCCAGTATGAAACATACGAAAACCGAGTGGTAGTGAATAATATGTAAAGTATGAAGAATTCTGATATTTATGAGGTCCGAAGTTAGGCAAAAACGATATCCAGATACTGAGCAATGTGGATTGAGACAAATTCAACTGATATCGGCGCGTTCAGTTTTCTGACTGAAGCGATGGAAATGCTGCTGGATGCTCTGATCGGCGGTTCCAGTCATTGAGACGGAGCAGGAATAACATAAGGCCGAAGTCCCGCCCTCCTTTAAGTAATTAGAACGTACATCTTACAGCTTACATCTCAACGCCATCTGTTTGTTACGATGTAATGCTTCATTTATAAGAGCCAGTCAAACATATCTTACTTAGCATATCTAGACTAGAATATCAAACATCAGGAGAAAAAGAAGAACATTCGTGAGCGTGAATACGGTGGCATCAAGGTTAGGAATCTCCCGTCTACAGGCGATGGGCACTGGATACTCATCATCAAGATGCCACTGACACGGATCCGAATTACCATCGGCGTTTTGAAATCCAAGATGGGGAAACTACTCGACTGACAACTGTCATACAGGGTATTAGGGAGGACCTCGCTCGAGTGTCTGCCTATCACCATTCTTCGGTTGGTATACATATTCGCGACTTTATCAGACCTTTAATGATACTAAGGGTTGCTTCCGAACTATTAGCATACTAGATGCAGGTAAAAGGGACATCAATCATTTCCTAACCGTTCTCAAAACGTGATGGAATTTCTAGACTATAAGCTGTCTGTTTCCTATGTCTCAACTGCCACTATCGCGCTTAATCGCAAGCCTGTCAGCCCTACCATTTTTCTGATCAGATATTACCGTGTGGCACCACATGCGTAAGCTTGTGCCTGGCTCTTAGGCCAATAATGATAGCTCGTATTCTTCCTGCACTAATATACTCTGCCAAACCTTAGGAAGTCCTGGGTGTGACCGCGAGAAGTCTTGGGCGGGACTGCGAGATCACAGGAGCACGATATGTTCCCTCACAGATATTGATACGGAAAGATTCTAGGAGGACCGGCCTCTATACTCGCCAGTACAATGCTGAGGACAACTTGAGACAGGTATATAAACATCGGCTTGCTAATGGTTGATGTTATCACCCAGACAGATCACAAGACTCACCCGCAGTCGATTCCTCTCATTTTCCTGCCACTTGCTTTCACTATCATGAAATCCACTCAGCTGGCAGGCAGCATCGCCGCCGCCGCACTCGTCGCCGGCACACAGGCGATTAACCTCTTGAGCCTGGATAACGTCACCTACGACACCCTCCGCGACTGGATGGAGCTGGGCTGGCGCCGTTATGGTGATTCCCTGCAGACTACCTACCCCGACCTGGGCGCTTTTAAGGAGGCCGGGGGTAAGATCATTCACTACCACGGCGAGTCGGATCCCAGTATCCCGACCGGATCCTCCGTTCATTATCACTAGTCCGTCCGCAAGATCATGTATACGGATCTTACTTACAACCAGAGCACGGACGCCATGGCTAGCTTCTACCGCCTGTACCTGGTCTCTGGCGCCAGCCACTGCGCGACCAACGCCTATGAGCCGGGACCCTGGCCCCAGGATAACATGGCGGTGATGATTGACTGGGTTGAGGATGGAGTGGTTCCCGTTACCTTGAAGGCGACTTACCTCTCGGGCGAGGAGAAGGGGAGCAACGCCCAGATCTGCGCATGGCCCCTCCGTCCCTTGTGGAGGAACAATGGCACGGTCATGGAATGTTTGTACGACCAGGCCTTGATTGACACCTGGCAGTATGACTTCAATGCATACAGCCTGCCTCTTTACTAGACGGACTGGTACCAGTCGAATTGCTCCGCAATTTGATATGCCATCTTGGGATGGAGTAGATCAAAGTTCTCTATTCGGCACAGTCGGCTAAGAGAAGTGGAAGCAACGGCAATCGAGGTGACAGAACCGTGAGACCTGTCGGTGTAATTATCATTCAACTATGAACTTATCTATACTTAGATAGTAATTTAAATTATCCTGGTCGAATTCGGCCGCCACTCTCCGGTGTTTCTCAAGTGTATCAGAAAAGATTTCTTGAGCAATTGGGGAATACAGGAGGGCACGCAACCTTCTGTTATATGTTTTTGTCTTTTATTGCTATCGTTGTGAGATACTTGGACTACCAAAGAGGCTTTTATCGACGCCATTCCAGTCAGTGGGGGAAGATTATGCATATTTAAAATTTTTGAGGAACAGGCACATAGAAAGCAGCTGACAGGCCAGCGCATTCATCAGCGTATAAAATTTCCATCAATCCATGGACTATGCCTTCACTTGGCCCGATCGAACGACATAACGACATCTCTCTCCTTAAAATAGCCTCTGCGGCGCACAAACTCCGAAACCTTGGCAACAGATGTCCCCATTTTCCGCAACCTCCACACCTCCTGCGCCTTCAGACACTCTCTAAAATGCCCTATAAAACCCTCATGCGAATAAACCCTATCACGCAGAACCAGGCCATCAGCCCCAAAACGCATTCCCTTCGTAAGACCCTCTTCCAGAGAAACCTGGCACCCAGTGCAACAAACACCGTGCTCGATGCGCCCACTAGCCCGATCAAGATAAGGTAAGGTAGTCGTCGCCATGAATGGCAAGTTGGAATATGATTTAGCCGAAGTCCAAGTAGCTTCTTCATCACTAGTAGGCTTAGACCCAACCACCCGGATAAGATCGTCCATAGTCACTAGTTGTCTCCTTCCCTTGCTCGATACCTCCTGCATGGAGTAGATCCCTGGGATGGTCCGAAGAATCGGAAGAGACTTGAGTAAGCGATATGTCCTCGAAGCTGTCTTACACTTCGACGAAATGTACCATTTCGCATCGGCGTAAGGCACGAGCCGGGGCAGGCGATTCTTCTGGATACATGGAAAGCAACAGCGGAGGAGGGTCGGGAGGAAGAGGAAGCCTCCGAATGAGCTGCCGCAGAGGAGACAGTCGCGCGTACAGAGCGCGGTGAACAGATCGGTAATGGTGAATTGGTTTGCTATTTTTGTTCTTAGAAGTGCGCAGAATGCGTCGAGTGCGTGTGTTGTTGTCTCCCGGTAGAAGCGACTGGTGCTGACGATTTGTTGGGCGCGGCGGCTGACTTGGCGGAATCGAAACAGGGATTCGATGTCGAGGCAGAGGCAGATTTCGTGGATGAGTTCCAGATGTAGGACATTGAGCCGGCCTAGGCTTGTGGTGAGTGCTTTGAGGAGTTGGGTTATAGTGCTGCGGACTGGTTCGTGGGCGCAGCGTTTTATGTGGATGACTGCTAGGTCGAAGTCGCGGCGGTGGTAGGTGGTGAGCTCGATGATCTCATCTTCGGGGATGGTTTCGGGTTGAGAAGTCGAAGTCTGTACTTTTGGGGGGTCCATGTTGATCCTTTCTTTTGGGGAGATGTAGTAGATTGGATCCTGGAGGAGGAAGGGGAGGAGGAGCTAGGAAAGATGGAAGGATAAAGAGGATATTCCTATTGCATGTGGTACAGTTTAGCTAAATGCTTAGTTGAAGTGCATTACCAACATCTGATCAATGTTTGACTTTTCATGAACGTGATAGTGAGGTGAATCTGAATGCTATCCTCCTCTAGAGTTCCTCCAGCACATACATATACGATGCTCAGTTCATAAAAGATCACCATGAGCTGCATATTAACGTTCCTATAGCTCTTTCATAATTTCCAGAATAGACTAAAAGCCTTGCACTATGCATACCCCTGGGACCCCCCAAACCTTCCAAAATATTCAACGCCAACGGACGAAGCAAAATCAAGGAGATAGATATTCCTAGAACAAACTTGAAGTCAGCGCATATCTTAATGGCCAAGAATTGTATGTCAGGGACTCATATACATACCATTTATCATCATTCAGTAGCCATAATCTCGTCGCCTTCCTGCACTTCCTTGTTCTCAACGTAGGTCGTCGGCGCACCGGGAGGTACGAGGTGGCGCCGGCAATAATTTGGCGAGGTTTTTCCCAATGCCTTTATGGAGGGGCTGCACCTGACATTTGTTCCCTGACGTTCCTTACACTGAACAAAGTCCATCTCCTTCTGGCAGCCGCAGGAGAACGCAATTTGCAGATTGGTGCACATGTTCAAAGAATTGGCTCTGGGAGGATGTGAAGATTGATTGGTCAAGGTGCGATGTCGACGTGACGTAAAGATTGAGCGGTGGTTAAGCTGGTTGTAAGGGTTTGAGGGAGCTTGGGAGTGTCGAGTAGTCGTGTGCTTGGTTAATGGTAGTTATTGGTAGATAGTAATTGTAGATGAGAGGGTACCGTATGAGAGAGGAAGGAAATGAAGTAGAGTACTCGAGGTAGAGAAAGAAGAGCGAGAGAAGCTACAGAAGGATATATGTAGGTGGAGGAGAGGGAAGAGCCAAAAGACAGAGGTTCAGCTTAAATAGCCCTGGCGTCTGTATCAGTTTGGAATGAGCTGTGAGTCTCGTGTGAGGAATGTATGCTGTTAAATATTGAGCAATCAGCTATCAAGTCGACGTATATCTGAACCCTGAGTTGCTTTTCCTTCGGTCCTGCTTTATATGCAGGAACCCTGATTGAGATGCTGTGTCTATCCCTCAGCTGTGGGATCTGAGCTTATGGTGAGATCCTTTCTCAGTAAACCTGTCTTCAACTCTAAGCTGCCTGCGAGTAATCCAAATGAGGTGGTGTGGCCAATTGATTGATCCAGTAGAAAATGAGGTCGAGTTTGTATGGGCTGAAATATCTATCGTAAGCCCGTGCAGGTGTTGGTGACTCGTATACTCGGAACAATATGATACGTCAGCAATCTTCTCGCGGTGTGGTAGAACCTAGCCTAAAGCTTGCAAAGCACACTAATTCGATGCTGGAAATCTTTGCGGTGAGGAAATCAGCACAACGGAAGATACATGAACGATTGATGAAGAGTAAACCGTAGTAGTGGTGTCTTCAGTTGCGGAGTACCTCGGTATAGTCATCAATAATGTTACTGTGGTAAGAAGTTTTAGGGCTTGAAAGAGCCTCCGTAGTAGATCTTCGAGATGGATGGTTGAATGGAGTAGCTCAAATTTGAGTCATATTGTCGATTTTCCGGGAATGGAAAGGATTTCCGATAGGAATGACAAGGACTAGCAATCGGTTAGCTAGGAAATTCTTAGGGTGCCCTTCCAGATAATGACAGCTACCGACGGCAGATACATCGGGTCCAATAGTAGTGTTTGGATACTAGAGCTATGGATGAGCGGACAAGTGAAGGAGACATGAAAGTACAACGGTCTCAATCCACTCATTAGTACAATATCGGAGTCGCGTAATAATAGGAAGGTGAAGCCTCTCAAGTCGCTGTCGTCCCCCTTCATACAGCCTCTGGTCTAGCTAGACCTTCAGATCTGGCCCAATAACCATCCGCTCGAATTTGATTTCTACGAGTTTAGTTGGAAAATTGACTATAAACTGGCGCTTATCATATCGTTTACCTGACAAGTAGACTCGTTCTACAGCTCCTCACATTAGGACTGTAATCCGCTTGGGTCTAAATAACCTTCCTCCTTCCTCCTAACCTCAGTCACCAATACTTCCATCCCAATCAACCCAGTCAAACGTGTTCAGCAGCTCTAAGTGCGGATATTGCGGGAGCTCATCATCCAGAAACGGTGCCACAGACTGCAGCTGCTCAACTCCAGGAGGATCCGGATCCAATATCCGGTCCAGAGATCGACACAGAATCCTCCGTATGGAACGTACCATGCTTTTGCAGGAAGCCTCAGTCTCGATCCAGTCCAGGCATACCACCAGTAGGCTAAGGTTCTGAATGATTGGTGATCGTGGAAGGCGTATTTGATAGCTTTGCGGGTGTGTGGCTTGTCGCAGGAGCTCCAGACAGAGGATGCCGCTTGCTGGAATTGCGTACGACATGGTCTTGTGATTGTGTTAGAGACAAAAATAAATGAAATAAATGTTTCGAGTTGTATCCTAGATACAGGGAACCCGATTACGTACCAGCCACTCAAAGTCAGCGTACAGACCAACAAATCGGTCTTTCTTCCTCCAGAAGAGCAAGGTCGAGTCCAGCATTTCATGACTCACTTCGACAAGGTCTTGCCCGGTGACGATATTGTGTCGCTTCAACAGCCGTTCCAAGAGAAACAGGTTCAAGAGAAATTCCAAACGCGTGAGGATCTGTGCATAGAGGACATATCCGGGAACATTGGTGTTGTTGAGCTCAGATTTCGAAAACTGAATCACCGATGGAAGTTGCATGTATGTTTCATGGGACCGTTGCTTCAAATTTCTAGTACTAATGTTAGAAGGTATGTGCGTGGCTTGGAGTAACGCACATAGCCCTATCGACGGCACCCTCAGCCAAATTATCCATTGAACTTTCTAAAACCTCCAAGACCTCATGTCGGATACGGGCGAAGCTCGTGCGCGATCGTAAGATTGTTGTAGAGTAGATCTGGTTATCTTGGTTCCATCCACGGGAGTCTAACTGCGCAGCGGCAGACGGAAGATCGCTAGATAGTAGGGCATCATCACTCAGATCTAGTGGCAGTCTGGTAGATGAATATGCCAGACTCAAGAGAGGGGGTCGCCCAGTGAAAGTTGAGATGACCTTGTCAATGTTGAAAACGGCGGCATAGAGCCTCCTTTTCAGTTCGAATTGGAGACTCACAGTTTCTGCCTCTGTTGCAAGCTCACGATGAAGTCCGAGAGAAGTAGTCACGGCCACTAACTCGCCATGTTGTGTCCAATGGGAGAAACCTTATTTTGGTTAGATCAGAGGCAAGGCATGATCAGTCTGTGTCGCCACGTACTCTTGTCCCCGCTCAGAATGCCCTCCAGAATGTTATGCTTGTACAACAAATACACAAAAAGAAGATTGACAGAGCCAAGCTGTTTGCACAGATCAATGCATAACGATGCACAGCGTTTGAAGTGCGCCATCAATTGTTTGGCGTTCGTAACAGATGAATGTGCCTGACAATATTCGGCGACCGCTTGGCTTTCCGACGAGGAGGAGATTGCTCCGCAAGCCCAGTAGGTATACAAAATGCCAAGAGTTTCCCATCGCATGTGTGTCCCTGTAAAGGAGGCCAGCCAGGCGTGCGGATCCGGTTTCTTTTGTAGCGGTGTTTTGCTATTTCGGGTGAGAATTGCAGCCGTTTCCAGCATGTCTACTTCCGACCGTCGTCGTAGCGCCGGCCGGAAAGCATTCCACATTCTGTCTGATGAGTGATGCCCTGCCAGCCGGACCCAGCCATCATTTGGATTGACGTGGCTTGAAAAGAGCATGGAGCAGTTGCGCTCCTCCGGTATATGGCGCAGAATACGAGCGCCGAGCTGCACAAGTGGTGTGTCAACTTGGGGATCTGGAGCCAAGTCTCGTCGTATTCCTGAAGCTTTGTTGGCATCCTCCAGCTCGAAGCAATCTCCATGTTCCACAAATACCGAGGTGAAGCTCGTTGGTCCCAGGTATTCGTTCGAGCTTTCGATAAGGGGCGTGCTCCGGTCCTCAACCCCGTGGTTCTCTGCGGATGTTGCATGCACCTCAAGGTAGGAAGCCCCTGATCCTACAAGTAATTGCGGAGTTTCTCCCGAGGTCGTACTTTTCGTGCTATTTGACTGTGACAGGTAAATACATTCGATTGAATGCTTCTGGCATCGTTGACATGTCGGCTGATTGTGGTCACAAGCTAATTTCCGTCTGCGACAGGCCTCACAGGCAGCCCTGCGACCGTTGCGCCGTCGTAGAGAAGGCATAGCACCGAAGGTTACTAGATAGTACCGACACAAATCAAAGAACTTCCACAGCGTCGGTGTACGGAGTAGATAATGCTAGTCGTTAGTGCCGGAAAGCCACTCGGCGTTCGGGATTACCATAATCATTCCCGATTGGCTCTGCCCCGATAAGCCTCTCCGTAAGGCCTCAAGATCCTGGTAATCAAGCTGAGGTAGTCATTGGGTGGTGCTTCATTCGACTCTGGGTTCCTATTAATTATTTCGTACAGCCGAAAGCCGATTCCGATATCCGTACCTTACGGCCAAACAGCATATATCCATGTATTCGACTCGACACCGACATGCCATTCCAATATCCCCAACGATCTATTCAGGAAAATGGCAAGATCCAAACTCCAAATACATATACATGACAATTCAGATGATGCATTATGCGTGTCCTCCAATGGAGATATGATCTCAGGCGAGATCAGTATTCATATGGAGAAAAATAACCACTCCTCCGATCTGGTGATCATGCTTGAAGGTAAAGTCCATACATCGGCTATTGGAGAGACACTGCTAATTTTTTGCTTAATACAGGAACAACCACAGTATCCTTGCAGCATGAAGTAGGAGTCAAACTTCAGAGCACCCAGACTTTTCTGCGTCTCAGCCAGAAGACGCGAGTCGATTCTCCTGCAACATTCCCATTTACATTCGTCATCCCATCAGCTCTGCCCACTGAATCATGCAGCCACGTCGTGTGTGATCCACTCGTGCGATATGCGCATACAGCGTTGCCTCCTTCTCTAGGGGGCAAAACTCCATGTGCCACAAAAAACAACAAAACCGATATTCTGACACCGAATGCGGTACAAATTCGCTACTGCATCAAGGCAACTCTCCAAGCTTGTCAGCAAGACCAGGAACCGGTGCTCAGCACTATCAGGGAGATATATATTATTCCCACTCTTTCGTCAGAGAGACCACCCCCAGCCTTCACTCCTGCAATCAATAACTCGGATAAGCCTTCTCAACTGGCTCTGGAAAATCATGATTCTCCAATGAAGGCCCAAATCGTACGTAACATCTTCCGGCGAAAGGAAGGCCGCCTCGTCGGTGAGATCCTACATGCGGGATCGCTTACCATGCACCTTCACCGACAACGACTTACAGAGGCTACTATTCCCCTTCGACTCGGCTACTATTCAGCCTCGGGGATTTGTCCTCGCTTACATCGTTTGACTATTTCCATACGTGCATTGACAATTTTTGGTCTGTCTCCAAGCCCGGATATCTCTTATCAAACCCAAAGTCACCAATCGAGCGTTTACACGAAGACTCTGCAAATCGCCACCCAAGACATGTCTAGTATAACATGGGAGGCTGTGCCATGTCCCACTATAATGGATCCACAAATTGAGATGACGTATGAGGCCCTTGTTCCGGTGTCGTTCAGTCTCTCCCCTGACAGACCTTTTGTGCCCACCTTTCATTCGTGTATGGTGGGGCGGAGCTACGAGCTTGAGTTCCGAGTATACTATCAAGTCGGAAGGGAATCGATCTTTCCACGTCGATTTTCAATCACTGTGCCCTTGATAATCACAATGAGCAACAGATAGAATTTCCGCATTTGAGAGTGCATGCTAGTGTTATGGATTGCTGGTATGTAATCCCGAGAACATAATTTAGGTAGGCCAGATATTTTCAGGGAGAGGGAAGTCAATGACTACAGTATTGTCGATGCCCTGATCTATTGAATCGTTGTTGGCTAGTATAAGTTCTATAATCATGTTTAGCAAGCTATATGGTATACTATAAATTGCGCGAAGACCAATATTGCTACCTCTACAACTCTCATGGGAATGTATTGAATACGAAATATAAAAATACACCTTCCAAAGAGGACATAGAATTCAGCATTACTGGAGTACAATAATTAGCACTGACTAGGTCCTTCAGTTCTTTTTCGACATTCCTGCAAGAAGCAGCAGCACACCCGTAGCCCCAATACTAACCCCTGAATATAGCTGCACACCTAAATAAGACCCCGTATTATCCAGAATGGCACCTGCAACAGGTGAACCACATAAGGAACCCAACCCACACAACACCGAACACATACCCATTCTCGTTCCCAAGGTATCAAGGTTCGGAGTGAGGGAGGTCAAAGCCACAGCGGGAAGTGCAACAAAAGCCCCGGAGAAGAATCCATAGAGGACTGCGAATGCAATTAAGCCGCCAGAGTCTGTGATAGCAATCCAGCATAGCGACACTACGCCACTGATGATAGCACTTCCCAGCAGTATGTTCAACGGGCCGAGTCTCGGGGCTAGTAACCCCGGAACGATTCTCCCCGGAACGGATGCAGCATTGAGGATTGAGACAAGATAGAAAGCGAGGGGCTCGCCTACAGCATGCTCTTGGATGGCGTAAGCTTCGATGTAGAAGATAGGGTTGAAGAAGCCAATGTAACCGAAGAACATGGCCACACAGAATAAGGTGTATGGAATCTGTTTGAAGGCGGAGAACTCGGTCAAGACGCGCCTGTGCACGGGGGTTTGGCGCACGCGCATGACGCACATGGAAAAAGCAGTCGTTCCGAGAGCTATAAACCCGATGGTTCGTGTGGCCCAACCGAAGCCGATGCGAGGCTGGAGTTGACGGAAGATTATAGGATAGAGGACACCTCCGAGGCTGCTCCCCGACGCGGCCAGGGCTGTGGCAATTGGACGCCGCGAGGAGAAGTATTGTGGAATTATGGCCACAGACGGAATGTAGAGACATCCGTTCCCGAGTCCGATACAGAACGCTTGAGCGAGGAGGACTTGCCAGTATGAGGTGCAGACGCTGAGCGTCATAAATCCGATAACGATAAGGGCGGAGCCGGTAAGAATGAGAACGTGAAAGTGACCCGAGTCATAGAGGGGACCAGTAATGACTCCGATTAGGAGGAGGAGAAAAGCTTGGATTGCACCAATCCAGGAGATGTCTGAGTTAGACTGGTCCTTAAGCAGGCCGAGTTCATAATAGGCTTGGAAGGCACCGTATGTGTTTACCGTTCCCCTGTGGTTCGCGAAGGTAGTCATTAGAAGAATGCTTTGAAGTAAAGGGTGGTAGCATGAAAATAGTACCATGAGTTGAAGAAGAGGAAGAACGAGCCTGCCACCTGCAGCCAGGCTTGGAGACCACTATTCGGCGGCGTAGTATAGGCTGTATTCTGCCCATTGATCTGCGAGTTGGCCGCTTTGGGCGATTCAAGCTTCTCCATGATGACGGTCGTTTGGTCCGACTATCGATTCCCAAATACAAAGGAGGATACGGAGACTGCTCAGTATGGTATCTGCACGGCTTGACTGCTTCATTGTTGATATATATCTGAGTCTCGGCTCTCGGCTTCGGGGTCAAAACACCATTCGGAAACAAGACCAGCAAAAAAGTCCCTGTCTATCCGTTCTGACTTGGCTGTACACCCAAGTCCGAGCGTATTGACTTCGCCAAGGTTTAAATGGTTCTCAGTTAGCATGCCGTTGATACTAGAAGATGAGTGGATCTGTGGGCATACAAGGTAGGAAGGGCTAAATATTTAAGCGCCTGGCATCCTCAGGCAGAAAGTATGCCAATGTCTGGTTCTGCCTCAGGAATCAGCACGTGCTAGCAGCCGAATCCGGTTAGTGTTCCCCCACTGATGCAATCACGCAAACAGCTTGTTGGAGCAGTGGAAGCTCTCGGAACGCTTCTTCTCTCCTCATCCCATCTCAATTGCTCCAGATCAAGCACAATGGCATCAATTCTCCCCCGTGTTGGCTTCCGCGCCTTGACCGCTCTGCCCAGAGCCACCCCTCTGCCCCGGGTGTCTTTCACGCAGCTCCCTCGTGTGCAGCCCCGCGTTCAGCCCCTCACTCGCCGATTCCTTGCAACCATTCCCCAAGAACAGCCTCGTCTGCGTCTTGGATCGACCGGTAGGTCTACCCATTCAACTATCTTGCACCACTTGGATGTATACTGACCGGTGTAGCCCCCAACTTCAAGGCCCTTACCACCCATGGCGAAATTGACTTCCACGAGTTCATCGGCAACAGCTGGGCCATTCTCTTCTCCCACCCGGCCGACTTCACCCCCGTCTGCACCACCGAGCTGGGTGCTTTCGCCAAGATGAAGGATGAGTTTGAGAAGAGAGGCGTCAAGATGATCGGTCTGGTGAGTGGTCTGGTATTAGAATTTCGGGCAGCCGCTAACAGTCAATGAACCTCTAGAGCGCCAATGACCTCAGCTCCCACGACCAGTGGATTGATGACATCAACGAGGTTGCCAATACCAACGTTCAGTTCCCTATCATCGCCGATGCCGACCGCAAGGTCGCCTTCCTTTACGACATGGTTGATCAGCGCGACTTGGACAACATTGCTGAGAAGGGCATCCCGTTCACCATCCGCTCCGTCTTCATTATCGACCCCGAGAAGAAGATTCGTCTCACCATGTCGTACCCTGCCTCCACTGGCCGCAACTCGGCCGAGGTCCTGCGTGTCATTGATTCCCTGCAGACTGCTGATCGCAAGGGCATTGCCACTCCTATCGACTGGCAGGTTGGCGAGGATGTGATTGTGCCTCCTTCGGTGTCGACCGAGGATGCCAAGAAGAAGTTTGGCGAGGTGCGCGAGCTGAAGCCGTACCTGCGTTACACCAAGTACTAAGTGCTTGGGTGAAAAGAGGGATTGTAACAACAATAACATGTGCAACAAAATATATATCAACGGAATACTACTGTTCTAGAACACCTCCGAAGTATAGAAGGTCTATAACGTAGCCAGTCAGGTGATAACTCCCCAGGGTCCAGTCCCTGAATAGCCCGCACTAGTCCCAATCCAGCCACACCCCAAAAACCACCGTCTCCGCACTAGACCCAAAACAGCAAATCCAATACAAAAAGGGTTTCAAATCGGGCGAATTTCTGTTTATCGCCAGACGCGCCGCCGCCTCGAGCTGACATGTCCTTTTTCTCTCTTCAATCATTCAATTGCTGCCGGCTCCTGGCGATC